GATTTATTTAGAAGTAAATGAGAAAAACAATATTTTTAATGGGGAAAATTCGATAATTCACAATTATTAAAAGTCAAAAAATTTCGATAAATCGGTCGATATAGAAACAAGCACATAATATAAGAATGTAAAGGTTTCCGATCGACTCAGTTCACAATTAATATATATATATATATATATTTATAAATATAGGCTTGTGACCAAACCAATAATACCCTTCGCAAGCGTATCGAAGGGCAAGACGACAGTCTGAAAGGCGAACAACGGCAAAAAAAGGTTCAAGACAATTTATAACAATTCCTTTTCATTTACATGAAAACGGACATGGACCACGCCCCGCTGCCCACTGCTCACTGCCCACTGCCCAACACTGGCACCAAGAAAATTTGCACTATTGAATACTTGATAGGCGATTTTGGCAATAATAAATGTTTCGGCGGTCACCAGGGGCAATAACAAATTGCTTAGCTACTTATGTATTACACACTATATTACACATATTACTATGATTGTCTTCTTCTTCCGCTCTTTTTTTTTTATTATTATTGAAAATGTAAATGAATAATACTTGAAAATCGAACGGGCTTGATGGCAAGGGGGGGAGGGGGGACACAGCAGCGCACCCCAAGGCCGTCTATGCCCATAGTGTGACCCTCATTCGCTGCCCGATGAACCAAGAAACAAGAAACAACAAAACGGAAAAATATAACAGGACTGCGACTCAGCAGTCAAGAAGATAAACAGCCTTTGATTGCGTTTTGCTCTCATTTTTATATGTTTTTGTTTTTGTTTCTTTTTTGTTTTTTTTTTTCTTTATTTTGTTTCGGGTTTCGGGTTTTGCTGCTCTCGTTATCGTTGTTCTTGTCGTTCGGCTGCACCCTCGGGATCGCCCCTTGTCAATGTAATTGCATAAGTGTAAAACGGTAAACAGAACTACATAGATACATATGTATTGTGGGATCAGCGGGCAGCGCATTCATATAATTCTGTTCCCACATCTATTTCGTATATGAACAGTTCAAATGGCTTTCAATTGTATTCAACAATAAGTTGGCTCTGTTAAGATGAAGAAAATGGAGTTTGATCTCCCTTATTCTAGCTGGAGGAGTATTTTTTTTGGTTAAATTATTATTTATGTATGTTCTAAAAGTACTCTTTTTCATGAAACTAAGCTCAGAGAGAGAGAGAGAGGAGTAATACGTATTACACAAGTTCTCTTTTTAACAATCAACTTGTACTACAGTAGTATATGCTATAATATAATAATATGATGAAAAATATATATAATTATATAACTAATGCTCTCTTATTTGCGTCCTCTTTCTCTCGCTCTCAATTATAATAGTAACCTAAAAAAAGCTCGCTTAGCATAGGAATTATTTCTCCTTGATCAGCAAACTATTTATAAAAGTATATATACATACATATGTAAATATGTATATATATAAACAGTGTTATCGCTTATCATTTACCGTTTATCTCGCGTCCCATTCAATCGAAATCACCTCAATACGAAATTCGTGTAGTCAATGAATTTTTTATTATTTATTTACCGTCTCGAAAGCTTATCAAAGTGTTGGCTATTAATAGACTTCGAGTTCTGTCTCGCTCTCACTCACTCATTTATGGGACAGGGTGACGAGAGTAGAGCACGAAAAACTAGTTTTAACACATGGTCATCGCATTAGCTCCCTCTTCCCCCCTCTCTATCTGTCACTCTCTCTGCCTGCTAATCCAAGTGTATAGCATGTAAACTGTTAAAACTGTTATCGCTTATCGCCTGCCACTTATCGTTTATCGCCTTTCTCTCTCTCTCTCACACTATTTCGATCTCTTGCTTAATTCTGTGCCCGAAATTCATGTCGAAAAATGAAAGTTGCGTTAATTTCTATATATGTACATATATATATATATATGTATACATATATTTATTAAAACTATTATTTGCTAGTTATTAGTTGCTCTGATTTTTGCTTTTGTTTTTGTTGTTGTTTCTTTGCTTTTAGTGGCTTGCATTTTAAATGCCGTTAACGGTTGTTATTGCCTTTTGCCAGTTGACTGCTGAAAGCGCTCACAAAATGACGCCTAATCAATTTATATTGCCCTCATCCCCCACTTCTCCTACACCTAATCCTCTTCCTCCTCCTCTTCTCCATCCATCCATTCACATGTGGCGCACTGAATTGCATTCAAACATTGCCGCCGCTGCCAGCCCTCCCCCCCTCTCGTTGGTCCCTGCAGCCAGCTGCAGTTTTAATTAAGTGTTTAATTAATGATGATGATGATGATGATGATGATGCTGGGCATCGATGCCATTGCCGTCTGGCCACGTGATGTGGGCACATTGGACAGCCGACAAATGCCAATGAGTTTTGCATATGTGAGTGCAATGGGATTAACTGATGAGATCAGGATAACCACATCTACAAAGTGTGCGTGTGTGAGTGTGCCTCTCTCCCTGTGTGTGTGCGTTTGTGGCTGTCTGAGCAAGTGTGTGTGTGTGAGTCTGCGTGTGTGTGGGTGCAATAATTGACTCGTTTTAGACAGATAAGCAACAGTAAATAAAAAAAAAAAATTCTCTCTTCAAACTTAAATCAGGGCTGCAAAAAACAACAATCAGAACTGTTCCTGGTTCTGTTTACGCCAACTCCTTGCCTTTGCGAACCTGGTTTTTCACTAACATGGCTGAAAATGTTGTTTTTCTTTATATATTTTGAAAAATTTAAATACATTTGCATAATATTATGCGGCGTTGCATGGCTTAAATGTGTTTCCCCAAATTTATAACTGAGTTTTGACTTTTATACAAGTTGAGCTTACAAAAGCTGTTTAAGAGTGGCTAAAATTAGTTTAAAACAAAAAACTGCTGCATAAAATACTTTTGTATTAAAAAAACGATCGTCTAAGGGCGTAAAAAGCGTTTTACTTTAGTTAGTTTAGTAAAAAATGACGCTTCTTAAGCAAAAGAACAGAAACATGCTTAAATATATTTAGACCAAATAGTTTTTCTTTAAACTTTCGAATGACTAAGCTTTTATGGATGTTTCCCTTGTTCCTACACAGTTCCATGTAAATGGGATATATTGTACTCTGAGTTATTCGAATATCAAAGCTGGCCTATTGTGAGTAAGTGCCTCATTGGCGGCAATTCGAATAGAAAATGTTGCGCACAAGTGAAAAGCAAATGATGATTAGTACTCCTTGCTTTTCCCTTGGCCTAGTGCGAATCATATATATATATATATTATATTTAAAATATATATGTACTTATACTTCTTTTTTGGCTGATTGACAGACAAAAGCTGGTTGGCAGCTCATTTCTTTGCCCAGTTTTCAGCTCATTGCTGTTTTCTGTTCACAACAATCTGGCCGTCAACCTTGCCACACATTTTCGACTTAATTTTCAGCTGCATTAAAACCAAATGCAATTTTCACTTTTCATACACATGTATATATGTATATACTTGCAAACGCCCATGGCTCAGTGGTTGCCAGACTGACTGACTGACTGGCTGACTGGGCCAGCTTATGCTCAGATTTGTGTGTTTGTGTGTGTTGTTTGTTCACTTGTTTGTTTGTTTGTTTATCTGTTTGCATGTTTTTCGGCGCTGTTTGCTTTCTGTGCGCACGCTCCGCTCGCAAACATTGCGCATACGCCGCGTTGGCAAAAGTAAAATCAAAAGTCGGCATCTGCGGCGTGTGCGCGTGTGTTGTGTGTTTGTGTGTAAAAATTGTGAAAAGCGTATCTGGAGCAGAAAATGTAATGTGTCTGTGCCCCGCCGGCAAGCCAACTGTACTCCTTAGCACACCCCCCACCCACCACCCTTTGTGATGTAGGGGGTATACCCATACACATACACATATGTGCATAAAATTTCATTTAATTTATGTTGTTTTCTTTCTACGTCTTTATCGAATAGTTTTTTTTTTTTCTGTTTGCAATTAACTAAGCTGCGCACATCTTTCACGTGATAGCCGCAAAGACTTACCAGCAAGAGAGAGCTTCAGAGAGTGAGAGGGGGAGAGACCGGTTCCGGCCCATCGCTGAGCCTGATAAGATTTAGTTGTCAGCTCTCAAGTAGCTGCGTTTTTTACGCAAAGTAAATAGATAACATGTTTGTTATGTGTGTTTTTTATCAGCGATGGCCGAATCGGTAGCACGAAGGCAAACAGTGAATTAAACAGTAAACGTACCTGTTGATTTACCACTAGACGATTATGTAGGGATCAATTATCGTAATCTCTGTGGGTTTTTCATGTTCCCTTTAAAAGGGTCTCTTAATCTTCGACTCCAAGATGTACATATATGTATATAGTCTAAATCGAAATCAAGAGTCGTGGCGCTAAAGCCAAGTCTGCCTGTCTGTCAGGTAGCTTACATCGGCCAGATCGAGCCACTATATCAAACATTTCTTTCCAATCTTTTAACCAAAAGCAGCTTGACTTGGCACACAATAAATTCTGCTTCAAACACCGAACTATGCACCATATTGTGAAATATTATCTGCCGCAGGAAAGCTCAGTCGAAGATTGGTTAAAAAAGTACACGAGGGTATTTCATATTTCGCGAACTGTTGATTTTGGTATTTTTGTATATATTTTGTTGTTTGCTGTCAAGATTTACAGATGTCAAGTTCTGCGATAAGATCGCCACAAATGAAGAACACAAATGAAGAAAAACCCTTGTGGAAAATAACCAAGCAGATAACTGAGATAGGTTTACCTAATGAATAATCGTCGAGTTGGAGACTAGAAATGGGTCAAATATTTTATAAATATAAGTGTTATATATACAAATGTGTATTTATCAACAATCCAACTTGGTTTTGCTTGAGTTTCAGAACTGAAATCTTGCTCTCGCCTGTCGAAGAATTTGAGTTAACAATTGGCATCTAATTGTAGTCGGGAAATCTTTAATAATTGCCGCAATTTGACATATTTCAAAGAAGACTCGTACTAAGACACATGTAAAAAACTATCGCTTGTCTTTTGTTTTACAGATCGTTGTGGAAACTCGGCAATATATATATACAGATATATAAAAGCACACGGCATTAACAATAGCACTAACAGTAACAACAACAGCAATAAAGCAACAAGTCAACAAGTCAACAAGTTGCAGACGTGGCTAATTGCAAGTAAGTCGTCAAATGTAATTTCTTTATAAAAGTAGATTATATATACCCACTCTATATATATATATATATATTGTATACTATATATACACAAGATAGACATCAGGGGCTAGCCAGTGCGGGTCGTGCTGGCAGTGCTGGCTGTGCTGGGGTGTTGGTGCTTGGCCGCTTTTGTTAGTAAAATGGGCAAGGCCGGTTGGCGCGCCGGCTGGGGGCAGGCGTCGTGAAAATTTTGCGTTCGCCAACACTTCATGTAAATCGCATAACACGACAGCCAAAGCGATGGCGATGGCGATGGCGATGGCGACAGCTTGCTTGACTAGCTCAAAGTCCAACAACAATAGCAACAACTGCAACGACAACAGCAAGTCGTCTAACTTGTCAGATCGCGTGCCAAGAAATAATAATGAAGAAAAATCGTGTTACTTAGGCCTGGGCCCAGGCAACAGCAGCTTCAGCACTTTATGGCTAATAATCATAACAACTACAACAACAATGAGCAACAATTGCAGCGACAACGACAACAACAATGCATATACCTCCTTTAGCTGCTGTCTCCCCCTCCAGCCCTTTAACTTGCTTCTTCTTTTTTTTTTTTGTGTCATGCGCCTGCGTGCCGTCTGATTAGCGTGCACTGAGAAATCCACTTGAAGAGTGTTCGCCCCCCCACCCCTCCGCTCAAAGCAACTTTTATGCGCTACCCAACACTTGCTACTCGCCACAGCGCCTACTTAATTGACGACATCAAATTACGGCGCTTGACATTGCCTCAGTTTTGCGGTGCATCCGTTCCGTCATGCCAATGAACCGACTAATGCGGCAAATTAATTCAACTTAAGTAGATATTGACGGATGCCAAGGAGATTCTTATCAAAATTGTACTTTAGAGTGGCTATTCCAAACATCTCGCTCTCGCTTTCTCTCTCTCTCTCTCTCTCCCTCTCCCTCTCCCTTTCCCTTTTTATTTTTGTCTCTCGCTCGTTTGCACTATCAAAGTTGTTGTTCCATACATCTCTCTCTCTATCTATCTTACTCTTTCGCTCTCTCTTTCTCTCTCTCTCGTTTTCTCTACTTCTTTTTCTTTCTCACTCTCTATCTCTCGCTCTCGTTATCTGTCTCTCTCTCTCTCTCTCTCTCTCGCTCTCGTTATCTGTCTCTCTCTCCCTCTCTCGCACTCTCTTTCACTCTCTCTCCCTTCCTCTGTCTCTCTCTCGCTTACACTATTAAAGTGAATGTTCCATACACCTATCTCTCTCTTTCGCTTTATTTTGCACTTTTATATTTCATACATCATCTAGTTCCAAATTCGTTTCTCGCATCTCTCTCTTTCTCTTTTCCTCTTTCGCTTACTCTCTTTAGTAGCAGTAACGTTTCACTGGCTGCGGCTACTTATTAATATTACATTAATAACAATTATTATCGTTAGAGTCTTATAATCGTAATAATAATAATAATAATTAATATTACATATTGTATGTATTATTACAAGTATAAGACTCTCTTACACTCTTTAGTAGCAGAAACGTTTTACTGGCTGCTCTGCTTTACTAGTAAATCAATTTAACTTAGCTTAGGCAAAGACATTTCTAGAAATCCTTGACAACTTTTTACAGACCACAAGTATGTTGGGTGCTTAACCAACTTTAAGGTCGTGTTCATAGGTTCATATCTATACACCAAAAAAACACCAGAAATAATAAACATTAGTAAAAAACAAAATGAAGCAAAGTAAATATTGGGCTTTTCGAGTACTAATCAAATCTAATTCCAAGTTTGTTGAAAAATGTCAGGCCCAGAGCCTATAATTTTAAAGGTGCGTGACTGCAATTATGCGGATGACGAGTGGCACGCAGCCAACTAATGGGCTATTAAGTGTTTACGAATAATTGATACGTGTACTTCTAAAAAGAAACGAGCACAGCGGGGCCTTAATGGAGGAGGATGTGCGCAGTACGAGAATTAATCAATATTTATGCATGATTAAACTTAACATACAATATATTTCGCTAACGTATGCTATTTTAAATATATGTTTAATGTTTAGCATTGGAGGAAGTTATTTAATGTATACTTTTATTATTTAGTATACTATGTGGAACTTATATGTTCTTAATACAACTTCCAACTAATCTTAGGCTTTTAGAGTTTACTCCAAGCTTTACAGACTTGAAATTTCTTGTAGTTTTCAGGCAAGCCTTAAGGCTTGGTTTGTGAACCCATTTCATATAGTTTTAAAACTTTCTTTTAAATTTTAAAACAAATGTTCTTAACTTAAAGTAATTTTCTTAACTTAAGTCTTACATATTAAGGGCCTGAAGCCATTGGAAAATATATCAAAAAAAGTTCTGCCCTTGCTTCACCAAAATTTGAGGCACAATTAGGTGCTCTAATTTTCATAAGGATCGGACCATAAGGACCGAAGTTAATCAAGAATCCGATTTGGGCACAGTCGCTGCATAAAGTGCGTATGGTTAAAGAATGAAATTTGTAAGTGTTGGAGTGGATTTTCCTTTTATAATTTTTGCATAGCTAATGAGCTTTTCAATGCGACTTAATCGATCAAACTTTTTGTGTCGTTTGCCACAGCTTAACTCAAATAAATGCCAGGGGTATGCTATGAGAGGATTTAAAACCTGCCACAACCACTATTGATAACTAATTAGACTCATGTGCCACGCCCATACCCACACCGACGCCCACGAGTTCGCGTAAATCGTAAACGCTGGAACCGCAGGCGGCTCTAAGCCTAAGTCCCATTTAAGCCCTCCAGAGCCCTTCAGCTGTGCCAGCTACTCCAGACCCGCCAAAAAACTATTGCCGCCCCATACGTGTTGTGCTACGCCCGCGGATTTCGCAGTGCCTGCTGCTGGTGCTGCTTCTTCTACTTAGTCGTTTTGCCACCTGCGTCTGGGCTGTTGCCAGTCAACCAAAAAGCCATTCAAAAATCCCCAAAACAACTTGCAACAAACGAGCTGCGTTGCGGCTCGCAGACAACATGCTAATTAAAAGCAACTTTTGCCAGCCGCATTAATATACACACAACACACACACGCACACTCGTGTTGTTGTTGCTGTTGCGCTGTCTGCATTGCCAGCGGATTAATGAACATTTACGAGGCGGGCCGCAACACGGGCACACAACACAGGACAGCAAGTGCCTGCTCCCGGCATAAAAGCAATCGACTGGCTTCTTCCTCGTTGATGTCGCTGAATGACAACAATTTGCATTTGTTTCATTTGAAATGTGTGTATAGACATAGTATATATCAGGTTGTGGCCGATGGGCGTGGCATCGGTTGGGTTGGCTTGGATTGCGTTCGGGTTGGGTTGGATGAGCTGCCTGTCTGGGAGCCCTTAAACCGCAGACACGAGGCGCGCAGCAGGCGTGCTGCTCACGGGTTGCACGTGGCATGTGCTACGTGGGACGGGGGGCTGGCGGCTGGGGGGCCACTGCCTTGGGGCGTCATTAAAAATGTCTTAATGGTTTTGCGGCTTTGATTTAAATGCGTTGTTGTCCTTGCTGTTAGCCTTGCTGTTGTTGCTGATAGCCAGACATGCCAGGACATGGCAGGACATCGACAGCTGCTTTGATTGCGTGTATTGCTGCATATCGCCTGCCTCTCAAATAACAATTTACTTAAATCTCAACGAGACTCATCACGTTAACTGATACAATGTCTTTATTTGGATTGATATTATTTATTCCTTGATGCCGTAATTCCTATAGGCCCATTGTCACCGTTCACTTGCTGCAACTTTTTATATAACTCCATAAATTTACAACATTAAGAAGTATTTTTCTCTTTTTTTATTTAACTTTATTTTTATAGCCCTGTGAGGAGATTTTCTTCTTTTGGCATGCAATGTGTAACGCATAGAGCTCCATCAGCTATATACATATATATGTACTTGATCAGCAGCAACAGACGAGTCGATATAGCCTCTCATTGAAATCAGTCCTCTATATCATATAGCTTCCATGGGTAGGATCAGTAAAGATGTAAGCTCTTGTGAATGTAGAAAGTTGCTCTTCAAGCTGTCTTGAGCAAACCTCTATAAGAACTAAATTCTATCAGAGTCGAAATGGCATTCCATATGAGCCTAGCAGAAGAATCGGACAAGATATGAGAAATGACTAGCAGATGATCCTCACACATGAGCAAAATCTTATATATACTCGAATATCTTATATTATATATTATTCCACTATTATTCCAACATATCTGAAAAGCCATATCAAATCGGACTACAATATGATGTGACACCCAAAGGAACTCTTTTAAGCCCCTCTAAGCCAAATGCTTGCAAGCGTATGTCTTTTTCGGCGTGCCAAAGATATGTTTTTTCGTGCCTTTTTTTTTATGGGAGAAAGTGTTAAGTGTTAAAGTTGAACATAGCGGCAGGTCCTTGCATATTTCTTGCTCGTCGGCCGCATTCGTCTCTGTCCTCGGCTTGTGCAGTTGAACTTTTTGACAGTCATAAATTTGCGTCCAACATGAATTCGACAGCAAAACTAAGAAGCCAAAGGCAGCCAAGAAATGTTTGCTTTCCCTTATACTTTGCCATTCCTATTTTATTTCATAATATCTTTTGTTTTTTTTTTCTTACTTTTTTCTCTCTGTTTGTTTCGCGCATAACTTTTGCACTATGTGTGTGCCTGCAACTGGCGGTGGCGCAACACGAAAAAATAAGAGGCAAGTTAAAGTTCAGAATCTCTTAAGCGGAATAAAAACTTACTTCATATATATACAGCCCCATCGATTCTTGACTTGCACCCGACGAACTAAAATCCTTTTTGATTGGTTTGTTGTCTAATGTTGTCAAAAGGAAAATTAAAACTTTCTCGACAAAAGAATGCAACAGCCCAAAAGCTGCGCTTCTGTCTGCATTGTAACAAACAACTTTTGTGGTTTATTCATATGGAAAAAGAAGAGCTAGAAAATTGTCAGGGTTTTTTCATCCATGTGCCTTGTAGAGTTCATGTTAGGTAACATGTACTTTCA